CATACATACATACATACATACATACATACATACATACATACATACATACATACATACATACACACAGAGACACACACCATCATGTGGCCGGCATGACTAAACGTCGAAGGTGCACGGAATGCTATTACCTTCCCACCAAAGGTTATTATTTTTCTATTTGCATTTTTTGCATTTTTTACATGCTTTCGAACTGCTAGGTTGGCAGAAGCTGGGACAAATAGCGGGAGCTCACTCCGTAATGTGTCACTAGGGATTCGAACCGCCAAACTGCCAACCTTTCTGATCGACAAGCTCAGCGTCTTAGGCACTGAGCCACCATGTCCTATATATATATGCTTTGAGAAATGTGGTGTTGCTATACAGGGCCAGTTCATTAATATATATTTTAAAGCACCTAATTTTTTTCCCCACAGATTCTTAGAGAACTTCAAACAGAGAGGTTGCTTTAATGAAGAGCAGAAAGGTATTGTGCCTGCAAGCAGTCCGAAGCACTTATTCTAAATTATTTTGAAAGTTTAGGTAGCCCTAATAAAGACCTCAGTTTTCAATAATTATCTAGTTTAGTTATATCAATGCAATCTTCTGATTTTAGGATCACCTTTTTTAAAAAATGCAATAAATTACATGTGTAAAATAAAAACAATTGGCTGTAAGTCAGTTTAGGACTTTCCTTAACAAAATCTCTTTTAATTTCTGATTACAGTCTGTATGTCTCTCCTTCATTTGGAATGAATAATAGCATTTCTATAAATGTTTTCCGCTGCCGTACAACCACACACAAATCAAAACAAGGCCTTGCTCCCAGATAAACACACACAGGATGGCAGTCATGTTCCACAAACTTAACAGTGAAATTGTATTGCAGGCTTGTTTGCCTTGAATCTCTGTATTTTATTGTGAAGTCTTCAAGTTCACAGAAACAAACAAACAGAAAGAACTTGAATGATCAACTTATGCATTTCAAAATATATCATATGCCATTGTTGGTGGCAAAGTATTCAGCTGGGGGAAAAAGTATGTTTGCTTAGTAAGGTCATTAAACCAACAGAAGCAGATGCAAAGGATAACTAGGAAGGAGGAGAAATGCCTGTTGCTTTCTCTTTTTTATTCATTGTGATTTTGCTCACGAGTGTTGCGGAATACCTTGAGATTACTGTAAAAGTGCATTTTATTCACCAAAGCCTCTTTTGTAAATAACTGTGTAGGCATCACTGCCCCAACTCTAACTGGGCAATCCATAAGAATGAAAACATTGCCTATCCATGTCTTATGCCTCAAATTAATTCTATTCTAGAGTTGCCTGCATCCTGGTTCTCCCAATCTTTGGGGAGGATAACTCCCCATCTGACATCACCAAATGTGCTTCTGGGCTCTTCACAAAACTGTATGCGCCCTTTTTCAAGCCAAGGACACCTGTTCTTGTATGAAGTTCTTGGAGGTCTTCACATGTACCAGTTTAGAGGGCTGTGTGCACTGCTGTGGATTTACACTCCAAAGGCCAATTTGCGATTGGAGGGTGTGCAGCTAACTGTGATGTTCAGGGTTCCAATGGAAAATGGCTCCTGGGTTGGCACATGGCACTTCTCTGCAGCTCCTTAACAGAGGTGGGTTCCTACCAGTTCGCACCTATTCGGTAGAACCAGTTCATCAAATCTACCAAACCGATTAGAAGAGGTTAAACCAGTGGACCCGGAAAGCAGGCCACACCTACAGAAGGGGTTGCAAAAATTTTTGAAACCCACCACTGCCACACACACAAACACACGCACACAGAGACAGACTGGCACAGAGAGAGAGAGAAAGAGAAAGAAAGGAAGAAAGGAAGAAAGAAAGAAAAAAGAAAGAAAAAGAGTGAGAAAGAGATGAAAGAAAAAAGAAAAAAGGGACAGAGAGACAAAAGGAAGGAGAGAGAGAGAGAGAGAGAGAGAGAGAGAGAGAGA